ACCTTACCGACTGCAAATGAGTTATATGTGTTAACTAGGCACCCTCCACCACACTTATAATCTGTATTTGCAAAATGTAGGGTGCAACCGTCTATGACCTAAAGACATATCAAGTATAGGCGTGCATTATGATAAAGTTATCGTTTTTCTACAGTCGGCCTGGTGGCTAATAATAACGTTCTCAGTTCAGATACCTTATTGATTACAGAATACGCATTGATTAGTAATATCGTAAGTCACAGTAAATTACAAACTGGCTTAAAATATCATTATGACCTAATTCTGTATGCGCGTCAGCATCGGCAAGGTTTGTGGGTGAAAAGAGGGCCGGACTGGGTGTTCATACAATAATATAATAATATTCTTGTCCACATAATATAAGCATTAACATGGTTGGCACACCATCTGTACAGACAGGATCATATTTGAAAAGTACAACTTAAGAATTAAACACTGTTTTATGAAATAAATGATGTGAAAAGGAAAATATTCGAAAAACTATATAAGCGACTTCTAATGTTTAGTTTTGATCGAATGAGTTATAAGATATTGGTTTAAGTCTAATTTTTAATCTTTATTATACATATAGTCTGTCAATTTCACGCGGGAATTACAAAAGGTGTAACTGGAGGGTAAGACGGAATATGATACAGAGGTGCTAGACCAAGACACATAGAATGCAGAACTTAAAATGGTTATCAGTAGTTCAGTTATAAAGGGTTCAAAAATTTATAAGATTCTACAGTAGCCGGTGAGTACACCATTATTTTGAAATTAGCAGATTTATGGACCAACTTTGCCAATACGACAAGATTTCATGATGGATGTTGTTCCGTTATTTATCATATTTATCATAATCTGAATATCTGCCGAATGTAGGTTCTAGTGACTTCAAAACTCCGTACAAGTAATACAAACATAGAAAGCAGCATTACTCTACATACACAGTGCTTCAATGCAGTACCTTAGAAAAGAGAAGACAGGAAAGGTTGCTGCGTGATGAAGTAGTACTGAGCGGCATGGGTCTTACCAATGAATCAAGACTCCTAAAAAATTACTGCGTCCCTCGACGTACGGCTGGTGGTGGCTAAGGCTGGGTTTCGAGTCCATTTAACGTCCACTCAATGTCCACTACCACTGACATCTGGCGAAGACATTCGATTACACAGTAGGACATTTTGTGTGTTATTATTAGTCTTTTCCCCTTAGGGTATTACTAAATTTTTCATAACGTTTTCGTAAGCATAATCCGTGCAAAATTACTTCACGAATGTTGAATTCCGCACACTATTCTGGCTTTTTAAACCAATAAGGCAGCATAGGAGAACAATTCTGCCAACTTCATATCGCTTTCAATAGACAAATGTAACCCGTGAGATAGGAGGTGGAATGAGAGCTTCTCACGGCAGTCTCTACTGAGTTGTTTACTTTGACGAATTCCGATTAAAAACATTATGTAGCCATTATTAACAGACGGGATGTGAATGACACATTCTCCACATATGTCATGATATCTGTCACTCTTAAATAGGCAGTAGTCACCATGCTTCAGCAATTATTACAAGGGATGAGTTGCACAAGAAGTGCAGTTGTAGAGTCTCTAAAACACAGGACTCTATGGTCACTCAGATGTAGTGAGTGATCCAGGTATTCGGGGGAATGAGTAACCAAGTAGGAACTATATCTTATTTACGATTGGTAAGGCCTTCTTTATATACCGAAGGATATTGGATGATGAATATCTTTCCATGAGTTTTGCTAGGTTTACCCGATACAGCTGCCTACTACCGTGCTTCCAAAAGTCAACTTTTAAGCGCCAGAATGGCTGAAAATTTCTATGGAAGAGTAAGGTCGATATGGGGACATTCTGTGTGTCAGGGATAAAGATATTTTACTGGCTGGAACAGAATTAAGATCAGCCTCTTCAGTATGGGGGAACAAAGAATTTCGTCCAAGCATCTGAATCCCAGCCATTTCGCTTCCACTGGTCAACTCGCTTGTCTGTTCTGACTGGATCGGAGTGCAAACAATTGGGTTTTCAAGGAACAAGAGCGCATGGTGTGACTGTATATCTCTGTACTTCCCCCACACAATTGCTAGCAAATGCATCCCCGAAAAGCCTTGAGGGTGATGTTTTCCCCTGTCTAGTTGGGGCAGTGTTAAGAGCAGCCTGAGAACTAGGTTAGGTGAGCGAGACTAAAGGGTCAGCTGGCGGTGTGGCCAAAGTCCAGGCATAGCAGGATATGTGGCCACACAACAGTTGTGAACATTATTTCTATTTGAAGCCGATCGGGAACGAGTTCGAAGTCACTCACGCACTTTGACTGGTTCGCTACACAAATATATTTAGCAGTTTAACGGTTTTGGTCTAGGTTGACAGGTTGCTGTAGTAGTGCTTTTGCAAGTAACACATCTAAGTAAATTACTGAAGCTGCTTCTCCGCTCACTTTATTCAAACGGGGTTTATGTACCTCAATCTCATGTAAATCTGCTCGCAACTGTTCACCAGCAGTCAAGTGACTGCAAAATTTTATGGGAGGTCCTGAAGCTAGGCATGCTTTTGGATGGTGGATGATGATGTATGGCTAATTCATCAACAAGGCGTTAGCCAACGCGCAACTCCCATGGCACTGTAGCGGTAAATAATTCCCCAAAATTATTGACCACAGCAATCATCACTCAACATTGGATGCTGACCCTCACTGTTTAAGTCGACTTGTTTAGCTGAAGGCTTCCAGTCAAGCATCCCCGCCATGTGGTACTCCGTCGTGTCACGTGCGTGCACGATTACTAGCTAGCTAAGCATTCACTTCAACCCGCGATTTGGTCCCGAAATATATTACGTACTTTGGACAACTAAATCTGGTCTTTTGCTTTATCTTTGGTACTCGAAGAGCGGACACTATAGAAGTTGTTGGTATAAGATCTTGCGTTAGTATACTCCGTACAGTTCGCGAACGTCGATACTTTCGGCCTCAAAAGTACTACAAGTTTTGAAACTTCCTCATATCGCCAAAACTCCTTTGTTGAATCGCACGAGACACATGTATATACAGGGTGTTTTTGAATCCTGCTTAGCTGACAATCAACAGAAGGAATACCACATGCTTGAAGACATAAGAGGTCTAGTCGGTTTCGCGGAACGAGGTTGGAGATATTGTGTGTGTTACAGGAGGACATGATCCGTTTACTAGAAAGAAAGATGGCATGAGGCGTCACACACGGATCGAATTTGGTAGGGTTTCAGAAGTATTTTCGTGGATAGTATCACAACGAAGTATAGAAGAAGAAATGGAGATAATTTTAGCATCGATCCAATTCAAAGAATTCTCAAGGTAAATAAGATCACGATTGTTTTCCTAGGTAGGGATCGATAGCTCTGAGGGAAAACTGGGAAAATGACGTTCGACTCAAACCTTGCTCGGGTTTGGAAAGTATTAGTTTAATGAGTGGCTCTGTAGAAAACCCCAGCTAGTCGTAGCGTCGTAGTCCGTTGTTACATTGACTCACTGACAAATTACCTTTTAAGTGGTTTTTAAATGAAATCTTGCATTAAGAACTTCATGGCGTGTATAATGTTGGCGGCCCAACGCACTTGAATTGCGTAAGTTTCTCCGGACGTGTGTTAGAAAATGCCACTTGATACTGACATGTGCGCAATATAGTCGATAAAGAGGGCAGTAAGTTCAAAATTTAAGCGCATATTTTCCCATTTTCACGATATCTTGTTAGTATATTTGTCCTATTGGTGAAACGCTATTGTCTTGAACAGTGTGGTACATACCAGCCTATCTAGCTGGGGAGCCACCGATCAAGGCTCTTCAACATGCAATGATTTGGGATTCCCACATTTCAGCAATCTGCGTCCTGATTTTAGAATAATAGCATGCGTCTGCACTGTGGATATTGAGGTCCGTAAAGGACCCCAGTGCCACGCACCTATTGCATTAAACATTTCAGAGGTATACAAAATATACTGTTTTTAAATGCGAATGACACATTGGTCTCCTAAGTCAAAGCGGATGTACTGTGGAGCCTTTTAGACTCCTGTAAAATTTTATGGTTATTCTACTCCTTGGTCACATGGAAATCATCTTTGGATGGGTTTAGAATCTTTCAGTGAATTTTCCACGGTACCTACTTACCATGGAAGAACGCCCCCTTCTCCTTGTATATGATATCCAAAAGAAATCTTAAAGGTGGTCTGCATATACATAGACGTGACATTGCCACTGACAAACGGTGTTCGAAACAGTGGTCATGAATCTGAATAAGTGAATATAGCACTGTATGGGATAGACACCTTTCATTCAGTTTCATGGCTAAATAAATGAGTTCCTCCTATCTGTTGGTATCTATGGGTTAACTCACCTGCATTTCATTTAGGAACTATTCATCATAACTACGAATCCGTTGCATGTAAATGCATTTTGTTTTTATCAGCTTCTTAGCAGTAAGTTGGTTCGAGCACCAAATTCTCAAACCTCAGGGTCGTTTATGGTAAAGGCTGTTTTGGGTACTATCAATGGATTGGGCAGTCGGAGCTAATTATTATTTACTACGAGCTGTTCAAACACACGGAAAAGACTGGGATATTGTTTGCAGCTCCTTGAAAGCTCTTTCTAAAACGTTTCTGAAGAAGGAAAATCTACAGGGCCTCTCGAAACAGGTAATCAGACACAACTTTTGGGCGTTATTTAGTGTTAGAGTTGTTCACTACAATACAACTACATCATAGCCTCCACCCGTCAAAAGTAGTTACATCTATCATTTAACAGGTTTTTGCAGAAACCCTGGTGACCTCACCGAGAATCAGCTGCTGACTATTTCGCTTGATCACTATACCACATTGCGGCGTGAGCAGCTACATGCTGTTAGGTTAGAAATTTTAAGAACTTTAAAGTAAGAAGGTCACTTCACTGTTTACTTGTAGGATTGCAGAAGAAGATGCGGAGAAGTTGCGACAGGCCGGGTACTCCGAAATTCCCTCGGACCGACTCATGATGTATGTGATGCTATACTCTATATTGTCGCAGTTATAGAAAGAGATGTCGTGAGTCCGGGATACCTGATAAAATAGGTCAATGCCTGAATCTGGAACCTCTTTCTCCTGCTCCTGAGAAGGACAATAAGGTATCCGAGGTGTTTCCTACGTCACCTAAACGTCCAAAAACAGAAATTGCAAAAGAATTGGTGGACAAAGATGGTGGTATTTGGCTTCCTGTAAGGTCGACGCGTATTTCCCACTTGTTTGAGGAAAACCCATTAGATGACCACCATGATCACATTGCGAAATTTATGCGAGAACAAAGTAAGTCTGACCATCAAATTCAATTTTGTTCATACGCATATTCATAATTCGAGCCTTGAGGTCTAGTTCATGTGAACCAGAATTAAATACAAACTACATAGCATCTTCGATAGCACGGAAATGAAACAGTGTTTAAATGGCGTGTTCTTCGCAGATAATTTATTACTGGAATTTTCTCATATGACGGATTTGGTAGTAAAAGATATGCCTGGCCGTTGCTCCTACCCCTATGCATCACAGTTTTGGGATTTTTGGAGAGTTTAGAATAAGATATCCCCTCTTACACTGGACATTGATTGATATATGTACGACTTATAATGTATTGTTGTTTCTTCGTGTGATTTTCTGGACTGAAAGTCGAGATCGTGCAAGACTCAGATTTGTGTAGTCATCCGTCGAATAGGGCAATCGGGGTTCTACATGTTTTTTTTGACCTGCTAATCAGGAATAACATGGAAGAGAGGGCTTTTCGGGTGGTAACAAAACTCAGTAGTACGCACCTATGATAGAGCTGCACATAATCTAATTTATCTTATGGAAGTTATAGCATTAAAATAATAAAATTGTACGAGAAAGCTGGGTTTTATGATTGGAACCTTCAAAGTTGTTTTTCAACCATACTTTTGTCATACTAATTCACACGCAAGATGACAAAAAGTCTTGACAACGACTGTGTGGTGAGAAGTAGGAAAAGCGTAGTGGTGCGTAATGCTCATGAATTGATTAGGCTGAATAGGGGGACGGTTTCTAAAAAGCATCAGGATAAAAATTTGATAATCTAAGAATAGACCAGCAGTATGCTTGCTGTAGCAGCGTATCTGATCTTTAGCTACCATGTTTCAGCTTGGATGAAATGTGTGGGCCCTCCAAATTTAGCTGAAGTGGCAGTCTCTCTAACCTGATACGTGGTGAAACTGCAGGACATAGTGGTATCACTCCATCTGTCTCAAGGGTGTCAATGATAAATTACCAACTAGATCAATAAGTGCATTATCTATTTCTATTTTGATCATCCTAGTTGATGAGAAAAAGCACAGCTGTTCCTGTGATGATCTCAGGGCAGTCAACTCTACTGAGATTGTAGATTCCATGATTCCACGAAAACTAAGTAGGTCTCAGGAAAAACAAACTCAAGAAAACCTGGTAGACTTTAAACTAAGATGAAGGTATGTTCATTATATATTTAACGTTCGGGAGGTTGTGTAGCATAAACAAAATTATCGGTGTCAAATGTTTAGCATCTTTCCTGGTGTGGAGGTGGTGTTAACTGCGTCGATCGAGAGATGGTGTGGCGAAATATTACCGTGAAGGGATTACTGAGAGTATGTTGTACTAATCAAGGCTTTACTCAAAGTCATACAGTCGTGTAAGGGCTTATGGAAAGCTGTTATCTGAAGTGAAGACCGGCAGTGGTATTCTTATGGGATGGCCATTGTTACTATTTTCTTTCAGTTTCATTATGTAGGTACTACTAATGAATGTGTCCATGGTCAACCTCGATGTTAAAAGGATTGATTTGCCACATGAAAGAAGTCTCGTTGCTCAAGAATACGTGGATGATATAGTTCATTTAGGTAAAAATGGTGAAAAAATGTAGTTTTCTGAACAGCCTTGCACAAAAGCCTAAGTGTTATTATTAGCACTTATCAGCAAGGCGTATCTGCAACCATAAATATAATGATTTCCCCTATGAAGCTCAGACTCAATTGGCATGAAATTCTGCAATGATAATTCAGTCACTAATTCACATGACTTATGTTCAAAATAATGATGTCTTAATATTTTCGTGAACAAAGTTAGTGAATTGTTTGAAAATGAAATAACTTTCAATCTTTCCAGGTGTCATTTCCCAACGACTTGGTTTTGAAGGACGGAATGAGGAGATATCAAGTCTGGATACAACATCATCGGTTCAAACTCATTCAGAAGTATGTTTATTTTGTTTTTGTTTCTTTATAAACATGTGATGATGCTTTTTTGGTAGTACATCCACTAAGACAGTTTAACCTGACCCTGTACCACATAACATTCTCCACTAATTTCACTGCTTATCAAGAGTAAAAAATTCTACTCCTGTTATTTGGTTTACAGGTGATAAGTTTATCGGGAAACACATTGAAAAACTAAAGGTTTCTTGGAAGGTATTCTCAGCTCCTGAGCCTAGATTTTCTGCAAATTGATTTTGTGAAACCACTATAAGTGATCAGTGACTATTCAGTGAGTGCAAGCATTCAAGTGCTAGGAATTGTTTATTTCAGAAGTCCAAGGTTTGAGCTCGTAAGCCTTTGTGGTAAGTGGAATATTTGTGCATAGAACTTTTAGTAGACGATTTTGCTGCTGTGGTAATTAGCTGATGTTCCCAATGATACTTTCTATTGCTCCACTTTCCTTTCCATATCTTCCACCTTAGACTGCAAGTATTCATAGTCAAGAAGTCAGAACCGAAGATCCACCACGACCGTGTGAACCTCTCACACATTTCGACCATGGTTCTAGTGAAACTGAATTACAAGGAGGTCCCTCCAAGTGTTTAGAGGTCCACGCTGAACCAATCACACCTAATAGTCCGACAATAGTAAGTGATTCCGAGACACTGGCTTCTCCACATTTTACTCAAAGTCTTAATTCAAGTCCTTCACTAAGCAACATCGAAGTACAGTCCCCATATTCGAGAAGTGCCAATCGTAACCGAAAGCGTTCAGCAAAACGGAAAGACCTACCTCCAAGTGCTTCTACTACTACTGCTCCAATGGCGTATCAAAATCAAGAACCAGAATTCACTTCAGGTATTGTCTTATCTTATTTTCGGTTATAAAGCTTATTTCCTCTTGCATTTAGGATTTCATAGAGTATAATCAGTTTTAACTGAAGAGCTTTCCTAAATAAGACAGCACTTTTCATTTTGTGCTGACAACTTTATTTGTATTTGTCATAAATGACATCTATCATCAGCATCTATGCATTGTCTTCGTTAAGTGCTGATTTATTCAGCGAAAATTTTTACTTTTTCATCCAGCATTTAACTCTGATAAGTAGACAGGAGCTGGTTAATTACTCACTGCAACAGTACCCAAATCTGTGACTTTTCGGGAGGACACATTGACCATGTTGGAAGCTGATACTTTTTCTAATGGACGACTTTCAAGGTATGAAAAGTTCCTGTATCATGTGTTTAAGAATACACAAGTCAGCAAAGAGATCTCTTTTCGAAACTCCTCAGTAGTAAAAGCGGCTGGATGAGGCCTTTCTAAACACCGTTTAGGTTTCTCCTTATGGATTGCTAACGCTTCGTCTGCATGAAGATGTAGACGAAATCCTTTTGAATGACTCTGAGGTAGTATATATATATATATATATGACTGAAAGAAGTCTTTGCTGATGCTGTGTGACCAAAAGTTATAATGTGCTTGGGAATTGAGCTGCAGACTATTCTGCGTTGTCCTCTTGGCAGCCATGCTGGTAATGTTCATGAGCGCCTTTGGACAATGTCCTGCTGGTATGACCTGTCTGCTTAGCTCCACAGTAGCAAGTGAATCGGTAAATGCGTATTGAAGTTGCCAACAGTGGGATCTTGTCTTTGATATTTCGGTTAACAAGAGCGTGAACTCTGTGTTCAGAAAGGTTTTATGCAACCTCTCTTATTACGTGCCCCCAGTGCAAACTTTTGTTTTCGTTTTCCTGAGTAGCTGTGTAATAAACTCTATGTAGTACTTCTATTACTTTTATGTTTTGCAACCCATTTTCAATCCTTTGTTCTCCTGTTTCTTACCAATTGTCTCCAAACGGTTATTCATCATTTAAGTAGTTAGTTGTCAACCCTCTTGACTACGCGAGACTATTCTCAATTTCTTCATGCATTGTTATTACTCATACACTGATTTACTTTGTTACCAACTGACAATAACCTCTGATCTCTGCTGTCAATTAACATTGCATGTATGAACCTCGTAAATAACTGTATAGCTTTGAAGTGGAGTTACGAGAAGAGGTCTCTTTGCTGACTCGTGTATTTTTAAACACATGGTATGGGAATGTTTCATACCTTGAAGAAATTCTGTTTAACTGTGCTCGAGCTTCGTTTTTGTGTTTGACAGTCATTGGTTCTATCGATAGTTTTATCTTTTTACGTTTACTCACCCAGAACTTCTAACTGAAATGTGAATCGTGGTTTGGTGATCTAGTCGTTTTTATAAATAAGTGAACACACAAATGCATGAGTTTCATTTGTCAACTGTGAAATCACATATTGAAAAGAAAATCAAAAAGTACTAAGGGAATTAGGATAGATATGAAAGTGGGACGACTATATTTTGTCCACTTAGTGTTAAAATCTTAAATATTTTCTTCCAGTAACAATTCACCAGGAGAGAGTTAAGGCCTCTACATGATCAATATTGTCTCCTTGAAGTCTCCACATACAGAAATCTGTGGAAATACATGTTTTACGTAGTTTGTTGTGGGTGTAACCTTAAAACTATTGTGCACGTTAGCACCAGTTCACAACCATCTAAAGACGAAATGTGGCATTCACCTCTTCATTTGTGGAGATTTGGCTCATTGGCGTAAGCATATATGTTAGGTGTATCTTACAGTAGTAGTGTATAGCAAAATAACGTACTCGCTCTTCGTTTTACTCACAATAACTTGGGAAGATTATGGGTTTTTATTATTATTCGTTTTTGCTAGCCTCTTATTTTCCCCATTGTTTACCATGAACATTCACTTCCTTACTACAAATCATGTAGCTCTCAGTCCAGCAGTATCAACTAACTTGGCTAACGAAGAATGTACAGATACAATCCAGTCGACACATACTATTGTCCGTCGGTGGCGCCGATCTCTATTATCAGCACTCTCCACAGTATGCAGTCATCGTCATGCTTATGTGTTCATGCATCCTGTAACTGAAGATATCGCTCCAGGATATAGTACGGTTGTTTATGAACCAGTGGACTTAACTTCTATTCGGCGCCGCATGGAGTTATCACTCAGTTGTTTGATTGGTGCTCAACCGTGTACAGCTTCAAATTCACCTGTTTCGTGTAGTCAAGTTATTATAGATGTTGCAACACGTTTCATACGAGATCTTTTGTTGATGTTTGTGAATGCAAGAATATACAACAGCCGAAACCATGAAGTTCATCGAATGGCTGGGGAAATGTACCATGATGTGATTAGTGAAGTAAGTTGCGAATTTATCCGTAATTCAACAAAGACAAATTACTAAATTGTTATTCATTGTAAAATGTTGCGAATGCGAAAAGTATAGGGAAGTAATAGATTAGGCTTCGCCAGGATAGTTTCATATGCCTATCCAATACTGTCTAAAGCTTTGTTTTTGTGCATTGTATTATGTTCTCAATTGATATTCATTTAAATTTTCACATGGTTTGTTCTTGAACTATAGTAATGGCCCTTCAATTGTTTTACTGTAAATTCATGTTGACACTATGAATCAGTAAATCTCAAATGCACCAAATTTTCCAACTTAAGAAGTGCAGATTTAGAGTCCCAATATATAACACGCATTGACAATTAACTAGGCATAAGATTTTCGAAAACACCATTCTCTTCACAAACCGATCATTTCAAAATTACTAGAATGTTGTTTATCGTTTCCTCGTTTTGCATTGAGTGTAAATGTTTCCTGTGGAGTTCATTATTGTTAGGAGTAAAAATTGTCTACGACTTCCTTTGGGAACTTGAAATATTCAGACCATAGTAAGTGGTCTTTTTAACACTAAATAACCACCAAGAGAGCAAGCAAAATGTGGAACACAATGATCACCACTTTTCGTGATGACATGAGTGGTCTCTAATTAGTTCAACATAATTTTCACCCTGGAATTGATACGGTTCAATAGTGAGACTTATTTTTACGAATACACTTTGCTGATTGTCGGTCAGCTTTCGTGATCGACTGGTTTCGATTGATTTCACTCGTCATTTCGTTAATTAAGTAGATTTTTGACAGAATTCTATTTCGGATATTTGACAGCTTCAACTTCCCTGGTCAATCATGGCTGAAAACATTCCAGGCTTCCCAAGTCTTCCTGATATCACCTCATATCTCAAAACGTCACCTGGAACAATAGTACATCAGACGCCGAGTTCAGAAGACGCTAGTCCTTCTCATTCTGCCTCAGTTGTCCTTAGGGAAGATGAATCAAGCGGCAGCAAGCAGTGCACTGTTCCAGATGTCAAACAACTTGAACGTCCTACTCCTGAGGTAATGAAGAAATTTGCTAATTGATATTTTTCGTTATATTGCTGTCATGAATGTAGCGACTGTATTGCGCAATAGCACTAGAATTGAAAGAGTAGGAACTCCGATGCCGGACTTAGACGCACTGATCGCGAATACAGCTTGACTACGCTAACACCCTTATCCGTCAGTCCACTGTACTTAAACGAGTACACAGCGATGTGAGATGGAAAGTATATTTAACAGTATCCGTATAAGAAGCAAGAGTACCAAAGAAGACAATGGTATATGTATATATATGTATGACCAGTGGTGTATGCGTGAGAGACTGTAAGCGAGACTGACTTTGATCTCCATCTCACCGTAATCATGTAACATGTGATTTGTCTTTGTTTGACTACATATCAATTACCACAAGTCTTAAATGATCGTTGAGTGGTAACTAATATAGCCACCTGATCCTAAGTGTGTTGATGAAAATCTATCTATGGTTAGACATAAATTCACTGTAATCTCGTCACCTGAATATCCGTATAAATTTGTGATAGCCTGATGAGACTACTGATTCTGATATTAGAAGCTGGTTATTCAATGTAAGAGGTAACTAAACTAATTTAGACTGACATGGTAATTGGACTGCTCATGTTCTGTAGAATTATTCACGCGATTCTTCTTCGAGTTAATGATGACTTTTCTGTAGTAAATTGCTTACCCTTTACTCAGAAAAATGTAACCCAGGTAATTTTATTTTTGACAATTTAACGGTAAATCAGTAGTCAGTGAAAGATTGTAGATAAGGCTCTTGGACAATCAGTCATTTCTCACTAATTAGTGTGAGGCTTCGGTTTTTCCCTTTATTGCAGAATTACTTTCATTATTGATTAAGTCAGGCTAAGAGTTACCGATTAAATTCTTCATCTGTGTGTTATCATATTGTTTGTTATATGTAGGAAAGTGACTGTGCAAATCAAGGCGATGGCGAATCGCAATAGCATATTGAGGTAATTGACAGTTTCTCTTATCTTCTCTACGTCGAATTGCCTGTTTAAAGTTAATTTTATCGTTAGGTTTTGTGTTATTTTATCGGATTTGTCATTCATTCTGGATACTTCTATTGATTGGAGTTGTAGGCAGGAGTTAGATTTACTTGGTTCATCATTAAATTATCCTGGTAGTGTATATGGGGACATGCTTTTCAACATTATGTGGTCCGTGCGACGGTGTGAACAGTTTTAATGAAAGCAGTACTGCAAAACCTGTAAAAGTATACTTCGTTAATCCAGTTCCTGTCTTGCTATACAATTATGGCATCTTCAGTATCTGTTTAAATTGTACTGCTTTACATGACAATATAATTGATGTTTTGGCAGCATATGTTGGCTGATTGTTTTGTAATTGACTTCATCTGAATAACATTGATTAGGGAAGTAGAGTATTATGTGATTTTTATTGAATTGTACATTGAGAGGAAGAAATCACAAGCTGGTTGTCGCAAAAATTAGTTCTGAACTACTTAAATAAGCATTTTGTTTTTCTTGTTGAATTTTTTAGGTTGCTTCTCCAACCAGTCCTGTGTCACGTGAATGCCGTCAGCCGTCAGGAAATGATTCTGCAGACGGTAGTGTAACAACAAGAAACAAATAGATCGGTTTTTGTTTACATCATTATTTACGCGCCTATATTCCTATATATATGTGTATCGATATTTCACACTAGACCGTATGCAGTGAATGGAGATATGAAATATTTGACGGTAAACTGATTCAAAACAAGCAGTTACAGTTAATAATATAGTGTAAATGTGTGGTCAGTGATACGCGTTATCATCAGGACAATAGTGAGAAGTGATCACACATCTGAACCAAATATCTAATAGCAACTTGATGGACTAAGTTGAATGATGTCTTGTAACCAATTCAAGGAGAAGACGGTGTGGCGATGGATATCATTTCTTAGTGCAAATGCTTATTTCTCAAACAGCAAATAATTAACGATTTGAAGTCTACTGGAATGACATTTGTAACACATGCCGAAGCCAGCATTTCAAGTGGCCTGCTTAAACCTTGGGTTAACAAAATATTCCATCACTATGTTGTACCTCATTTGCTTTGTTTATCCTTCTTTTAACCTGTTAAAATATAACTTCTAGTCGCATTGTTTGTTGTCGCAATACTTTTGATTAGCACGTTTCCTCTAAACATAAGGAGCAGCATCATGGTGGATGGCGACGTGCTTCAAAGCGTATTCCAATCACCAAACGACTGATCCTCAGATTGAGTAGCAGCTGGTGCTCCCAGATTAGTGAGATTTACTCCCGTATATCGCAATATGTAGACAAAGACTCTTCAAGAAATTTGTTTTCGTGACCTATATGATGATATTCTTGTCTGTCTAAATGATTTCAGGTCTGTGTGACAAGATCGGCGTAGCTGTAGTAAGAAATGTGGCGTTGGTTTTGCAAAATATCGATTCTCACTAGTCTACATCCAGTGATTTGTCTTCAGATTCTTACGTAACTAAATCGATTGTATTGCTGTTGAATGTAGCCCGAAACGTAAAAGGAAACTCAATCTAAATTTCGAACATTTGTGTCATACACACTCTCAGAACTATCTATATTTGGTGATAAGTCAACTACGCCTGCTGATTGCTTCCTCAATAACTCTTTGTCAATAGTGACCAGACATTTCAATCTCTCTGACTGCAGTTCCCTTGCATCACCAGGTCATGAAAATATTCCCAACCTTGCGACTAGTGCGGAAATAACTTGTTAATTCAATCACAAATGAGTACAGGTATTTATTTCAATGGGTGAAAAATAGTTTCACGTTGGGGATTCCAATTATTGTACAAAACCTCATGAAGTAGTCACAGAACGAACAGAAACCGTATCTTTTTCTTCTAGGAAGATGAATCCTTGCTTGTGTTCATGCCTATTCTCTAAATACGTACTCTGTTTTTAAAATCTAATAGAATCCTTGGTTATTTTGTTGATCTCGCTTGCTAACCATCATTAGTTATCACTGCGTCTTTTAGAGATGGTGGTTGGGAATCCATCGACCTGTTCCCAGTCACTAAATATAATATGTAATTATACTGTATTCACACAGGAATCAAGAGTGCATAAATGTGTTATTCATTTCATCAATAGTTAAATGTCCATTCAAATGTTTGGTAAACCTGAAAGTTACACGTTTTCCATATGTGGAGTATTCCTTACTGTGTGAAGTTCGATCTCGGGTCTTTTGTTACCGTTTGAGGGATTATAGCCAAAAACATGAAAATGCAAATTAATTTAGATGCATTGAGTGATTATTTCACTTGGTGGGATTTTGTTTATTTCTGTATGACTCACTTTATAGAGTTAACATCAACCTAGTCTACCAAAATTCACTTGTCTTTTCTGCAGTTTATAATACGAAAATCTACTTCGACAATGTATTTCCAGCTGTTACTGACCACTCTTAGCACATATCTGCTGACTGAAGCCTTCCTGTATGAAGTTTCTAGGATGAGTGGAAGAATATTTATACACCAAACGACTCTGGCTCTTGAGTTTTCGTTGGGTTATGTTTGTGATGTGTTAACCAACGTAAATCTTAAAGTAAATTAAAGTAGCATCCAAAAAATTTCAGCAATGATTATTCTTCACCAGGTCATTTAATAGATTTTTGCCATCTCAACTCAATAAGGCCCTTGCTGTAAAGTTGTGAGACTAATTTGGTTCGACTGATATTCATCACATATATAAATGTATCTACCTTTTCGATAAAAGTTTTAGCCTGACGTAATTAATATGTTAGTTCTTGCCCACATTGAACCATTATAAACGATCTCACAGCACCGAAGATGATAACAGATTGTCCCACGTAAAATTTTCTTCCCAGACATACTGTTCACTATACAACCTAAGGGATTTTGGGCATTTGTATCGAAGTTGTCAAAGATGTAGCCATTCCCAATGAGCGTAGATATATACCCAGTATTCCTATAACTCACGTGTCGTAGTGATACCGTTTCGTGTGTACCCATTAGGTTAAAAACAATCTTAGTAACCGCAGTTAGACACGATGTACATCAGCACCTAACATTCTAGAGGGCTATTTGTGCATAATTTTAGGACCGTACCGTTGATGTACTTCAACTACTTCTAATAAGTGGCCTGTGGGTATGCTTCTTCGACATTCACTAACTGAAAGTCATTATCTGCTGCTTGTGTGTAGGCGCTTGTCTTTGGTATTACTTCATTTCTAAATTCTTGTACTTCGCAATTTTCAGTCTAATGCCCACAAATAGTTCTAATCAGGTGACCGTAGACTCCGAATTTACGTGTGTCACTAAGTCAACCAGTGGTGTGATCGTTTTTGAAAAGCTACTTCCTTGCTAAACCGCATCATTTCTTAGAAAGTGATGTTTGGGTATTGCAATTTAATAGTAACTAACTAGATTGGAGAACAGATGTGTGATAGTCTACTGAAACGTGGGGTCTTTCACTAGTCGAAACGCTTCTAATTAGATCTCTATCATATTACTGCTATACTCTACAATAATTTCAGTTTACAAACACGTCAGTGTTCCGTGATAACAACTATTACGTTTGCCATGAATATTTGAAGACATTTATTAAAATTTCACATGCGTTTCTATCTAAAGAAAAAGAAGGTTCTCTTTCAATATTTGATCGGTCTCTGTCTGCCTATTGGCTCTTCGTATGAAGACTAATCATTTCGGTCTAATAAACACAAACTATAGAAATTTAGTGTATTTAAAATTTTACTGGGAAACTGCGTAACAGTTGGACATCTCCGTAGAAGAAATATTACTGCATTTCTCATGCATTACCGATTTGTATTTCGTACATGGCATTTTTCTCATCACTGCATCCCATATGCATATCAACTTAATGCAGAATATGCAACTGAACCACGGAGTTTCAGTGGGATTTAAGCTACAACTACACAAAATTCTTAATGTCGGAAGCTGTAGGTAGATGCATCACCGTTCGTCGCAAATTAGCACTCATGTTTGAAGATTCATCCTGTTTTCTGGATATTATATCTGATGGAACTTCCAGACTCTTTCGCGTTTGAAACGGAGGGTACTGTGTCTCAGTAAGAATGGTATCACCCATTGGGGGCTGCAAGTACCTCCATCTGACAAGTCCTAAATAGGTTGAAATGCTCAACCACTGCTGGTAATCATCGAAAAAAAACATCAATGAGACAAACTACTAGTTATCGAAACTCTTAAAACAAATGAATGTGGCATAACGCCATATTATTTGGATTGACATGTGATGTACTCCACTTTCATCAGATACGTCAACACAAATCAGGCTGACCAATTGAGATTGGGATAAGATTCTCAATAAATAACATCAATATGGTACACGTAGGGGTTTCGCTCCTACATTGATTGGGTGGTGCGTTCACAGTTGACCAGTTCAACACTGGGAGAAAACAGCAGTCTAATGCTTTCATGTTTTCAAAATGATTTCAGTTCGCAAAAGAATTCCACTCTGAATTGCATAGTGATAACGAGACATTTGCTACACTACACTGTGTCGACATGAAATACTATCAATTGAGTTCAGTCAAATCCCGCATACACGAAAAATTAACAATGGTCAAACTATTTCACCATTAAAACCAATTTGACACTTATATTACTATCAATATTAAGAAGGTCATTTACATCACCAATAAATCTACGTAAAACTAGCTGTTACCGTTAATCTCATTCCTTTCTTTGAAAAGACTTCACAAATCAGAAAAAAAACAAGAGTTTTCTCAGAAGCAGTTTTTATGCATTAAATACACAGTTTACAGAATTCATTCTCACAGTTAGTTACATAAAGTGCATCAAGTGATACAAATCTTTCAATCAGGGAGAAAGTGGTGTACGAAAGAATAAACACAGATGCTAATGAAAATTAAGTATTTGCATATTCTGTCAATTACTGGGAATCATTTTCGCCTACAAACTAGAAAGT